AACAGGCTGGTTCAAGAACGTACCCATTCATCTTAGAGGACTACTTCTCTTTTCCACCCCACTTTTCCCTAAAATAAACAAAGGATGATCTACACCTGACAGAACAAAATAGATCTGTATACGCCAAGAAGGGTACCTCAGATTGAGACAATATCAGATTGCTACATGATCTGAAGACTTTCTAAAATAAAAGGAAAAATAAATAGAGTATCAAATTGCTGAGTACTTAGCAAATTTATATTGAGCCTTTCATCTGGACTCAGAATATATATTTTGTCTAGTATACTAGACGAACTTAAGAGAGCCTAGCCATTTACTTTTTCAGCATGAGCTTTGGCCAATACGGGTGACAAACTATTATTACCTTTCTTTTTGTCCTTGCTCCTGGGTAAGTCTAGGAAACTTGGGTTCACAAAAGGGATCTAAGGAACACTGTGTCTCCCACATCTACCCACACTTACCCAACTTTACCCAGTTTCTAGGTGCAGCAGTTTGCAAAGAAGTTAGGTTAAGAACAACAATCAATTTTGGGCTTGGCGCCTGTGGCTCAAGCGGCTAAGGCGCCAACCACATACACCTAAGGTGGCGGGTTCGAATCCCCAGCCCGGGCCCGCCAAACAACAATAATGGCTGCAACCAAAAAATGGCCAGGCGTTGTGGCGGGCGCCTATAGTCCCAGCTGCCTGGGAGGCTGAGGCAGGAGACTCGCTTGAGCCCAGGAGTTGGAGGTTGCTGTGAGCATGATGCCATGGCACTCTACCCAGGGGGATAGCTTGAGTCTCCAAAAAAAAAAACAAAAAACAATCAATTTTGTATCATTAGTTCTAGTTTTTCACATGCCCTTTAAAGAGATAATGCCCCTGGACAGTGTAGCTTCTTTAATTGGTGCTAGCTCTGGAGAAAAAGAGACCAGAGGCCAACTATATTGCTATGGGGCGGAATGAAAGGGGAATGCCGTCCTGATCAGGGCTGAGCCATCTTTCCCCTCTGCAAGAACAGTGGCACAATATTTCAGGCTCTTCCTGTGTCAGGCTCCTGACATGCACCATATGTAGCTGCAAATCCCAATCATTTTCAACATTTCTTAACTGCTGGAACGCCTTTCTCAACACTGTAATTTACCCTCAAAAGAATAGGGAGCAAGCACCCTCGCCTTCCCAGTACCACATTCTACTAACTGCCGCCCCCTCCCATACCCCACTAACTACCCACACAAGGAAGAAGGCAAGGAGCCTTCCTTCGAAGCCCACAACAGACTGCCACAGTATATATGCCACTGACAGAACTTTATTTTTTTTTAATGACATTAAATACAACTGCTACAAGGGAAAAAACATGATAAAGAGGAGGCACCAAACATCAGTTTCATAATTGATCCTGACAACAATGCAATTAAATCAGGGCCTACATTAAATGCAAAACTACAAGTTATTTCAGGCTCCTTACTTACAAGTAAACTATGTAAACAGAACATTTTTACTCTGCTTTGTCAAGACCCCTGTGGTGAGAGAATGTCAGCATGGATGAAGAAAGCTAGGTGGACAGTTAAATGCATATAATCCTTATTCAAATAAAAAATACAGGAAGAATTCTACCTGAAATACTAAGAGGGAATCAAAGATTTAGATAGGCAGCTCTGAAAAGCAATTAAAACCCCAGGTTCTACCCACTACCATCTTTAAGGCGAATAAGCCAGATAATGCATTTTCTTTGGCTTTGTTTTTTCTTCTTAAAGAATACCATGTTAACCACTAGAGAACAGCTCTCTCCTCCCCCAGTCCAACAGATTTAATTAAGCTGCTAAAGCTTTGGAAAAACAGAATTATTTGAGCTAAGAGGAAATGTGATTGTCACATTTTCTAGTTAACCTGTCACTCATTTGATTTGGCAAAGGCAGTGCCCCCGTTACACATTCAGTATTAAACACCCCTGTACCAGAAGGGCAGGAACCCGAGTCTTAGAATTTTGCCTAAGCAAAATGCTATCCCTTTACTCCTTGGGTTATCTGTGGGGGAACTTGACAGCTGCAATGCTAGCTATTCCACCTTCATTTAATTTTAACTACGTTATGGTCTCAAAGGTGGATGTTTGGCATGTCTCATTCTAAGCTAATTTAGGGCAGCCTGGAAAAGTGACCAACACAGTAAATACCAATTATGTCCACTGAAATAATAGTATTTTGACTACTGCCTTTGAATAGAACTTCTCTTTTGCACTTTGGTCCTAGAATCTAAAACAGTATCTAAAGAAAAGAGAATCCTTGGCTAGATAAACAGTAAATACTTAAGGACATCCATCCAAATTTACAGGTGATCTGAATGACCAAGCTATTCCCAAGTCAGTTTCTAATGTGGAATATGATGTTTAAGATGCATTACCACATACAAAGATGGGCTCGACGAAACTATAAAACTAAACAGAGGCTGTAACAATTACGAACAACTTCAGAAAATAAACAGTAGCACAAATCCCAGACTGCAACTTTCCAAAATGATGTCTAGAGCTACCCATAAAGAGAGTAACAAGCTCCTAAGACATCCATTAAGACAGATACACAAAGTCTGTCAACTTTGGTTAGGTAACAACCATTAAAATCAGATAATGCTTTTATACATAGGCTTAGTCACAACTGTATTAGACCCACTTTAACAATTACATGAAATTATGTATCAGGGCTTGCCCAAACGACATGGTAACATCCGTGGTCTAAAGGCACCTTTTGTTAAGTAATAATGGAGACAAAAGAGTGCCCCTCCAAAGTTTCTCTCACAGGATGGAGGCTCTCTGACTAACACCTACATTTATTACTTCAAATATCAAACCTATGCCTAAAGCTGGTATTCAGTAGATGAAACCAAAGACCAACTAACAACACAATGGCAATGGCCTGTCCTAGTATACAGGAATGCTGACAACAGAACCCTAAGGAGCACAGTGATCATGAGCTAGAGGGGTCGGGTAAGAATCCTTGAAGGGCAAAGGAGACAACACAAGACCACAAGGTACTCAACAGGGGTTAGTTGTAAGTCTTTTGTCAGAGTTAAGATGTGTAAGATTTGTAAACACTAATGTGCAAAACAAGTTTAATGAGGAATGAAAAACCAAAAATAAATAAAGGCAGCTAGTAAGTACAGAAAGAAGAGGAGAGGAATTACACTTTTAATTAGTTCTTCCAACAGAATTTTTCTCCTAGTCCAAATGTCCTGGATTTTTAAAATACTGAAGGATATGCAGAGATTCAAATAAAAAAGTAAATTCACAAGTCATCAGTAATAACACTGGCTCATAGCCTAAGTAAAAAGAATTTCCTCTTTACAGGCAATTAAAAGAAGACTTCTTTTGGGCACTGCACAAGTACATTTCACCTCTGCAGAGAGGTGGGTGTTATGCTTGAGCTTCAGTGTTTTGGCTTAATGCTGGACTTCAAGAAGCAGCCACCTTCCATTTAAATAACAAAAAAATAATATCAACTTAACACTGCTTTAACACAGACACATAGACACACATAAAATCAGGAGAAACCTCATACCAAAAAATTCAAGTCAGCAATGGGTATTTCCAAAAGGTGACAAGTTTTTAAATAAAAATCTTGTAAAAAATAAAATTCAAAATCTACGAAGCACAACAGCAGAAGAAAATGAGATGCTGCTCTGGACAGGACCCTGGACAAGGACCTTCACTGCTGATGGGATGAGACAAAATTGTACGAGAAGTTTGGGAGACGCTGGAACCGATGGTGGCTTCGCATGTTCCTGTCAACCCACTGAGTGAGACTGTATCTTTGCAGAGGTTTCTGTCGGCGAGCATAGTTTCTATCGAGAGAGGGAGAGCAAAAAGAGGAAAGATGTTTCAGCGAGAATGGCTATTTGTACAACAAAAAGGCCAGCACAACTATTTTAGGTATCTTTACTTTTAGAAATTGGATATTTATATTTTGATTCTCACAATTTTAGAATTTTTTTTTTTTTTTTTTTTTTTTTTAGTTTTTGGCTGGGGGCTGGGTTTGAACCCACCACCTCCAGCATATGGGGCCAGCGCCCTACTCCTTTGAGCTACAGGCGCAGCCCACAATTTTAGAAATTTTATACTCCTCATATGAAAATCATATCATAGGTGCTATTTCCTTCTAACTCCCAAAGCTATTTACTTCCCCAAACGGTATTATGCTGGTTTGGGGCATATACACAATGGTAAGAAAAATTAATGCAGAATAATATTTAGGTAGGAAAAAATCATTTTATTGCTCCAGAACAACTTAGAGTAGGATCTATAGTAGTTCATTGTTTGCAGCGGACCTGTACCTCCAACAGGACCTCGCTGTCTAACATGGCTCAAGGTTGCTCAGGACATAGCAGCTAAAACTAGAACAAAGGCTCGGCACCTACAGCTCAAGCGGCTAAGGCACCAGCCACAAGCACCAGAGCTGGCAGGTTCAAATCCAGCCCAGGCCTGCCAAACGATGACACTACAACCAAAAAATAGCTAGGTGTTGTAGTGGGCGCTTGTAGTTCCAGCTACTTGGGAGGCTGAGGCAAGAGAATTGCTTGAGCCCAGGAGTTGGAGGTTGCTGTGAGCTATGATGCCACAGCACTCTACCTAGGGTGACAGCTTGAGGCTGTCTCAAAATAAAATAAAACTCCCAGAGAAGGTAAATCATCATACGAGTATCACTTCAATTATAGAGGCTAAAAAATCAATAGCACAGACTCAAAGTTTCTTAAGTCTCCTTTAGTTATGGGCTGGGCTGGAATTCTGACCAAGACCCTCTGAGATGTGATCCTATTCTCAACTCCAAAACTATTCCTGCTGTCAACTGGGGAAGATTCTAAACATACGGATTCTTGGCCCTTGCCTCCTCCCACACTTAATGATTTAGAATCCCTGGAATCAGGGTCTGGACATCTGTATTTTGGAGTTATCTCCACACGCAGTTATGAAAAGTAACAAGGGCTAAAAGTAATTATAATAGTATCTGACATTTATATATCCCTATATACTTGCTGAATTCTTTAAACACCCTATCTCCTCCTTTCCTCACGGGGGCCTCGTGTGCAATGGCTGCAAACAGCAGCCTCCTTGATAGTTGCTTGCCTATTGCTTGTATAGGTTGCTCTAAGGGACCTTGGAGACATTCCTTTTTAATACATGTTCACATATTAGATCTTGTGCTGCCCCCCAATCTAGGCTCCAGACAGGTATGCATGGTGCGTTTGGAAAGCCCCAGGGCGCCATGGCCAGGATTCACATTGGCCAAGTCATCATGTCCATACACACCAAACTACAGAACAAGGAACATTTGATTCGCAGGGCCAAGTTCAAGTTCCCTGGCTACCAGAAGATTCACATCTCCAAGATGGGGTTTTACCAAGTTTAACTCAGATGAATTTGAAGACATGGTGGCTGAGAAGCAGCTCATCCCAGATGGCTATGGGGTCAAATACATCCCAAATCATGGCTCCCTGGGCAAGTGGTAAGCCCTGGACTCATGAGGACTTCCA